CACAGGATCAGGGTTCATGCGTTGCAGTGACACAGCTTTAAGACAGGCTGTTCTCAGTGTCTGTACCTGGTGCCGTTTGTTTTCTCTGCCCCGAAAGGGACCCCAGTAAACATACCCAAGGCCTGGCCAGTGGTGCAGCATCTGTAGAAGAGGTGGTCGCCCTGCCAGTCTCTTCAGCTGCCTGTCACTGTCTGCTGCGACACCCACGTGGTTTCTTTGCCTCCTCCATTCACTCATTCTGTGTAGAATGTGTGAGAAGTTTTGTTGTTTTAGGGGAATGGGGCTGGATTTGTTTCTCCTCATGCAATTTGTTTAGTGTTAAAAAGGAAGGAGTACCCCGACATGTCAGTCTGGAAAACCTTTATCGATCTGGGTGTGGTTTATTCTCAGTGCCATGGAAGGGGCATAGACAAATCAGTGTCTGGACCCTTTCAAAAGAAAAAAGTCACATTTCTGCATCTCCTTTCTTCTTTTTGACACTACCTACACAGCAGACTGTCACTGGGTCATAATGCTGCTTTCTAGGAAATGCTTGATGTAGTTCTGCTAACACTGTTGTGCCTTCAGCATTTCTTTTTGTTTCTGTAGGCTCCTGATGGTCACATTTTTCTGGAAGCCTTTTCTCCAGTTTACAAATATGCACAGGACTTCTTGGTTGCCATTGCTGAGCCTGTGTGCAGACCAACCCACATCCATGAGTACAAACTGACTGCTTACTCCCTGTATGCTGCAGTCAGTGTTGGCTTACAGACCAGTGACATCACCGAGTATTTACAAAAACTGAGCAAGACTGGTGTCCCAGAGGGAATTCTTCAGTTTATCAAGGTAAGGCTATATCACTGGCATTGGAAATATGTTTGTTGCTGCTGATGAAATCCTTTCTTGCTGCTTCTGCCTAATTGATCTCTGGTTTTTTTTAAATCATGCATTGTTTCTGTCTTGTTTTGTTCTGTCTCTGTTTCAAGAGAACTTTATCATTTGTCTTTTTCTATACTATATTGCTGCACACATGCTATTTTCATAACTTACCTTTTTATACCTTTCTATTAAAAAAAAGGTACACCCAGGTGTCTGTGTAAATAGTTTCAGCTGGTAGGAGTTGTAATGAGGAAAGTTCCCTGAAGTTGCCGTGGGGGAAGACTATGAATGTGGGAAGCAGCCTGGAATAGCTGGGCACTATGAGACATAGCAAGTGTGTTATTGCAGTCTTGGAAGCAGATTGGAATTGGGTATAAAAACTGAATATCTGTGACTGATGTCCTGCCTGAGATGATGTGAGTGTCTTCTAAAATACCTTTTCAGGTTTGTTCCATGAACATAACAGCGTTGCAAATAAATGTTTTGTGGTCATGTGCTTCCCCACAAAGACCTAAGCCCGTTGCAGCATTTGGTCCCAAATGCGGAATTGCTCTTTCCCATGTTCCTAATGACTGCTCTGTTTGTTTGTAGCTGTGTACTGTCAGCTATGGGAAGGTGAAGCTGGTTCTGAAACATAACAGGTAAGTCTCTTCTTCCTTAACTAGTATGGCAGGGGGAGCCCTCCAGCTGCACATGTGTGCCCAAGGGAGTGCTCTCGGTAGCTGCTGAGCCTCACAGCTCCCAGCTGCGTGTCACAGCTCTCAGTACAGGAGCACTCTTACAGCAGTTGAAAGTATTTAATACATTAGGCAATGAATTCAGTTTGGATGTCCTGAGCCAGTGCTGATTATTGTTGCATATTTTAAACAAGGTTGCAAATTTGATATTCCAGCTTGTTTCTTTATTGCTTAGGCTTGCAATGTATTGGTGAGGTGTTTAGATCATTGTTTCATTCCTTCCTTCCAAATCTACATGAGTCTGGTTATACAAGTTTTTCCACAGCTGTCCTGCAGTCTTATGTATTCTGACTTGTAATCAAAATTCAGGAAGGATAAGTAAATCCATTGGCAAGAGTTGGGTGCTGGGTTGAATCTGATGTGTTTGAAACCTAGAGGATAATGCTGGAAGGGACCTTAAGAGCTCAGCTTGTTTTAAAGCTGGCCAGTTTTGTCTAAACCTGCTATTCTACAGGAGGGAGAGGGAAAGGAAGGAGACAGCAGGAACCTAAAGCTTATGCCTGTGCCTTGCTTGCATTTTCTCTTTCTCCTTTTACTTCTTTTCTGAAGTTCTCTGTTGTCCAACAGCCATAGACAAGCCCTGGAACTGTAATCTAGTGCTCTGCTTGTGCTGCTGCTTATTTCAACCTGCTGCTTTGGTTAGGACTAACACTGGTAGTACTGGCAGGCTAGTTTGTTTCTGTGAAAAAGATTTCTCTCATGCCACTTAATTCTCCTGGCTCATATTTTAACTGTGATCTTCAGCCAGTGTCATCATTGATGAAGCTTCAGGTTGCATTAGTTTTACATTTTTAGGTGGTTTGCATTTTGTAAGTTTTGGATTTTTGCTTTTTGGACTTTTTTGGTACTGTGGACAGGACTTTAAAACATCACATTCAGTGTTTTCAAACTCACCTCAGTTCAGTCTCAAAAATGTTGACTTCCATCGCATGTCACAAATAAGATGTGTATGTGAGAGCTCTGGGCAGTTCTGCTGGAGTTTTCTCACTTGTGTTATGTTAGAGAACGTCTGAGCAAGATGGATAACTGCAGAGTACATGATGCTTTTGGTATGAGGCTTAAAATTTTTCATTGCCATAATGTCTTCATTTTTTAGATTAGCTCCCCAGGTCGGATGCTTGAGAGTGCATCTGGGACAGCTGTGTACTTAAGCATCTCTGCCACTTTTCTGTGAGTTACTCAGTTGACCAGTTTGTAAAAATGTTTTTCTTGGTTCTTTAATTTTAGGTATTTTGTGGAAAGTACCCACCCTGATGTCATTCAGCAGCTTCTGCAAGACCATGTAATCAAAGACTGTCGCCTGAGAAATGCTGAGGGTGAAGAAACAGAGCTGATTACAGAGACATTCACAAGTAAATCAGCGGTATGTTGGGGGGTGTTCTAAAATTACCGCAGTAACAGATAAACTCTAGAGTAGTTTGGAGTGGTTGTTGTTTGTTTGTCGTATCAGATTGGTTCTACCAGTAATGCTTTGTGATTGCTGAGCCCAAATTTGGGGAGGGAGGAGGACAGGCCAGAGTGTGTCTCTAATGAAACCCATGGTGAAATTTCCCATCTCTCTATTCCAGATTTCCAAATCCAGTGAAGGTAGCACTGGTCCATCAACATCACAGGGAACAGATGTTCAGAATAAGCCAGATGTCCCAGCTGACTTATTTGAGTTTTATGAACAGATGGACAAAGATGAGGAGGAGGAGGAGGAAACACAGACAGTATCTTTTGAAGTCAAGCAGGTATGAGTATTTTAGTCTCTGCATTTGTAGCCTTGGGGAACGTGCCCAGAACTGGCACATAAGCACGAGAACTTAATGGGAAGCAGCATGGCACTTTGTTTGCTAGGGAGATCACTGGAAGTCATTAACATTTCTTTCCTTTTACCTTCCAAAATCTCAGAGCCTTCGTACGGATTGCAGTAGCCTGGGGCTTGTTCCTTCTCTGCCCACAGAGTGTAGAGCTCACAGGCCAGAGGGGCTCCAGGGGCTGAGGGAGGTTCCTGTCACACGTGTCTGAATGTTGCTTTGTGCAAGACAAGTGAGAATTAAGTGGAAGGCTGCTTTTAGAGAGCTTTTCTTTTAATTCCCCGGTTTTGTTTTGTGATTCATGTTTGCAGAAGGAACTCTAGGTGGTTCCATTTCATTGCTTGAGAAGGGTAGCTGGAGGTTGGAGTGCAGTCCATTGCTTTGACCTTCAGAGAGGTTTTGTAGAGTTTCCCAAGTTGTTTTTGGACTTGGTGATTCTAATGATGCCTTACTGGAGGAAAAAAAAATTTAAAGAGATAACTTGAGAGCTGTTCTGTTTATTTTGAAAAACTCAACTCAAACGAACAACCTCTTGATGATTGACTCAGCCTGTCATTGTGGTGGAATTACTGCCTTACCATGATATGGAGCTTTTCAGGATAACAGATGTGCAGCTTTGGTAGGTCCTTCTATGTAACACACAGAACCCTTTGTGTCTGTTACTGAGCTCTTTGTTGCAGGACTTCAGGGTGTGGTTTAGTCATTGCCGGATAAGCAGCACATCTGAGATTAGTGTGTCACGATGTTCCATCTGCCTAAATAGCCCTCCCTGATACCCACTGTTATTTAAGATGTCTGAGGGGGTGGGGGTGATCACAAAGTTTCTGACTCTTGCAGATTTCATAAGCATAAAAAATACTGTGACTTCACATGTAATATATAATCTAGTTGTTTGTAGGGGGGAAAAAAAGACAAGAATTAATTCTGATGTGTAGAATTTACCATCTGAGGCTTTGTTTTCCCTTCAGGAGATGATTGAAGAACTTCAGAAGCGTTGTATCCATTTGGAGTACCCCTTGCTGGCAGAATATGATTTCAGAAATGATTCTGTGAATCCTGATATTAATATAGATCTGAAACCTACTGCTGTCCTCAGGCCCTATCAAGAGAAAAGCCTAAGGAAGATGTTTGGAAATGGACGAGCCAGGTCTGGTGTTATTGTCTTGCCATGTGGTAAGTTTCTGGGTTGGTATTTAGGGGTTTTGTTCTTTATTCACCTTTAGCAAAGTAAATTCCAAATGTGACAGTTGCTTGGATTTCACACAGCAGTAGTGAAATCTGTGGTCCCACTGTGCAGATTCCTGTTGGGTTTTAGGGAGCAGGTGGAGAGGCTGTGCTGAGGAAGAGCTGGTTAATAGCACTGTCAGTGTCCCTGCAGGGATGGTGGAGCTAGTGAACAGCTGTGGTACCTTCAGATTGCCATTCACACTTCCACTGTGCCCTCTGACAGCTCTGCTCATCTTCCAAGGAAATGTAAAACTATTGGGATTGGAATCATTTGTTCCTTGGTTGGGAGTAGGGGAGCTGAGAATATAGAGGTGGCATAAGGGAGTGGGGCCAGTTTCGAAGGAAGGAAAGAGCTTGTGTGCAGAAGTTCTGGGAAGGGGAGATTAAGGAGGAAGTGAGGAATGTGCAGACTGGAACAGCCCACAGGAAGCAATGAAAAAGGAGAGAACAGGAGACTGTGCCAGTTCCCTTGGTATTGAGGATGAAGGAGGCACATGGGAGATACAGTGAGGGCCTGGGAGTGTGTAAGGGATGCTGGAAGAAGTGTGAAGGAGGAATGGGAAGAGTTAAGGACTCGGTTTGTCGGAGGAATGCACATAACTGGCAGAGGTAGAGGAATAGATCAGCCCTAGGGAAGTTCTGTAGCCACCTGGAATTCAACATGTTTTTTAAATTAAAGCATTAAAATGATTGCTTCTAATTGTCAAAGCCATTGTTTGCAATTATTTTCTTGAGAAAATACTGTTTTGTGTCCACTAGACAATCCAGTTGTTTTTTTAGAAGCAAATACTCCATTTCTTTAAGACTGTTGTAGCAAAGAAACCACAAAGAATTTGTCTTTGCATGATTTCATATCCTCTCACAGTTTTTCCCTTTGCTCTTTTGTTTTGTTTTCCTCCTACTCCAGTGGTATCTGAGAGATGGCTAACAGATGTCACTCCTCTTGCCCTGCAGGTGCTGGCAAGTCCCTGGTTGGAGTGACAGCTGCGTGCACTGTCCGCAAGCGATGCCTTGTCCTCGGTAACTCTGCAGTGTCTGTAGAGCAGTGGAAGGCCCAGTTCAAGATGTGGTCCACCATCGATGACAGTCAGATATGTCGCTTCACTTCTGATGCCAAAGACAAGCCCATTGGCTGCTCTATTGCTATCAGCACATACTCCATGTTGGGGCACACGACAAAAAGATCCTGGGAAGCTGAAAGAGTAATGGAGTGGCTTAAAAGTCAAGAGTGGGGCCTTATGATACTTGATGAAGTACATACTATCCCTGGTAAGGAAAGGGCATACAAACCTTTCATAGTGCATGCAGTGTTGATGTCACTCTGCTCTTCTAGAGGTGTTTTTTTGCTGTTTTTCTCATGACTGATGTAGATCCATGGTTTAGGGTTTTGAGACAAGTAAACTGCATTGTTTTACCTTCTTTTTTTTTTTTTTTTCTCCTGATACTATGCAGTTTAGCTGACTATTAGTTTTCTGATATCCTTCAAATCGGACGCTGTTTTTATACTGACAGTGTAGAGTACAAGTGTAGGCTGATAAAGTGGTCTTAAAATACATGAATTACATTTGTATAATTTTGCTAAAGGCACATTTGAGCAGGAGAGGAATTAACCTGCCTTTTTTTCTTCTGAGATGCAGTAGCACTGCAGGCTAGTTTTTAATACCTATTTCTGCTCAATAAAATATGAGTAACTATAGTGATTATCGTCCTGAAATAGCTGTTGTCTTTGAAATTACCATGTAATTGAGATCTATACTACTGGAAAGCAATAATGTAGTATTAAAGTGTCTGTGGAATAATCCCAGTTAAAAATGCCACCCAGGATTCTGTTAGCTGCTCTACCTTGTTCTCATTTGAATATAATTTAGTGTCTGCAGAAATGATGGGTTGCAGAAGTAGACCTTGATGATTAATTGCCAGTTTATCAAAGTACCACAGTACTGGCTGTTCTGCCACTTGTGTTCTTTCTTGATTTCATAAAAATAGTATAGCATCTCCTATGTGATCTCTAGCACATCTAGTTACTCTAGATGAGTAACTCTGCCATACCCTACCAGTCCTGAATGTGGCAGTCAGCCAAGAGTCCTTGTGTCGTAGTTCTTGCCAGGAAATAGTGTAGACCTAAACCAAGTCAGGTAACCTCTGAATGTAATAATTCTCTCTTGGGGAATGGGAAATAATAAAGGTGCCAGAAGGTTTACTGGTTTCTCAGAGTACACTGACAACGCAAACTAAAGCTGCAGTCAGTGAGAAGTTTTGCTGTAACGCAGATTTGTTAGGACTGTGTGTGTGACATGTCCAATTTTCCAACACTGTGCTTGCTGTGTGTTCAGGAGTTGATCAAAGTGTTATTCTTAAGTTGCAGTATTTGTCTTCTAAAACCATTCAGGAAAGTAAACAAAAAATTTGTCTTGCATTTCTTAGCAAAAATGTTCAGACGTGTGCTCACTATTGTACAAGCTCACTGTAAACTGGGGCTGACTGCTACCCTGGTCAGAGAAGATGATAAAATTGTTGACCTGAACTTCCTGATTGGACCAAAGCTCTATGAAGCCAACTGGATGGAGCTGCAGAACAGTGGCTACATTGCTAAAGTCCAGTGTGCTGAGGTGATGCTCTGCTTTTTGGTACTACTAGTGTTTATTTAGTATGCTTGTAACTTTTTGTTTTTTTTTTTTTTTTAAGGAAAGATGTATAAAATTATAAATATTTAACTGGGAAAAACAGCTCCCTTATGACTTTTCATTTACTCTGTAGCTTAGGCAAGGCTGTTGCTGGTCAGCGTGAACATGTGACAAATCCAGTAGCCACATGGTCTTCAGAGTGACTTCAGCACTTTTTCTGTTTGCTTGCTCAGCTGTCTGCCAGTCAGCATTTGAAATGGGAACAGAGGTTGCACTAGTGCAAACCTGGTTCAGTGCAGTTGCCATTTGTGTTCTCTGACTTGACTTTGTATCTTAAACTCAGTTCTCTGCATAATGTCCTGTTATGATGAACATAACGTAAGGTGGTTTAGCTGGAAGCTGCTTTCTCGAGACATCACAGGGTAGACAGTCTGTAATTGTTAGAGAAAGATTCTTATAACTCTTACAGAAGGATGGTAGAAATTTTAAAAAACGTAAGAATGCTTATTTGAAGCCTGAGCGTATGAGGGTGAAACTCAAAACCAGGACTGGATCTTACCATTTCTTTCTGACATAATGGTGTGATCTCTGTTCTTACCAGCATATGGATGCGAGGAAAATCTGGTATCAGAGAAGTGGAAGTCTTTCACATAGGCACTTTGGAATGTTGAAGTAATCCTTCTGGGTCAGACTCAAGGTCTAACTTAATGTGTTGTCTCTGATAATTGACAAGGAAGATACCTAGGAAGAGTATAAAAACAGGGTGAACACATCTGTTACTTTTCCTGATATTTCTCCAAGCTCTCAGTTATTTACAAGCTATGTGTGGTTTCTGTGTAAGCATCAGTGCATTGCTTTTTCATTAACTTATCTGAACTCCCACAGAATGGAAGTAAAGTTTTAGCAGCTACAATGCATTATGGTAGAGATCCATAACTGTTTCCCATCTGTTTGGGGTTTTGAGTTTTTTCCCTGTTGTTTCTGGGGATTTTCTGTGTTGGGTGTTTTTGGTTTGTTGCTTTGTTTTGGTTTTTTTGGTTTTGTTGTTGTGGTTGTTATTGTTGTGGTTTATTTTAAGCCTGTCTTGCTAATTTCATGCAATTCTTCCTAGCTCTGGTCTTGGAATAAAAGATTTTTTTTCTAGATGCAGGTCAGCTGTTTCCCTTTTGAACACTATGCAGACTGGAGGTTGTAGGAGGAAAACCCTCCACTATTTGCAAGTGAAAGGCATCTAGAAAATAACTAGGTTGAAGGGAGGGTAACCAGCCTGCAAATTCAAGTTTGACTGGGGTTAATTCTGCCTTGCAAGCATAATTCTTCTCAGTCCCTGAACTGCCCTTTAGTCATTGAAAGTGAAGCATGGGCTTCCCTTTGGTTCTGAGTGAAGGGAAAGTTCTGCAGGTTTATATTCTTTTAGGCCTATGTTTTGAAATAACATTTGATGGCAGTACCAAAAGCAAAGAATAAAAAACCCCAGTATTGGTGGCTGAGAAATAACAAGTCCAATACCTGCACAGCTGCATTGCATATTTGTTTGGATTTTCTTGGCATGTTGTTGAGAAGTAGCATCTTTAATCGGCTTAGCTCATTCTCCACAGCCAGGAAGTGTGGCTGGTTTGCTCTTTAAGCTCTGTTCTTTCCAGGTGGCTGCAGAGGGCTGTGCTGCTGTCAGGTAGAGCAGCTCACGGTCACTGCAGGCACTGCTCTCTCACTGCTCTGAAAGGGTACAAGCAGCACAGTTGAAAAAGTTAAACAAAGGTTTAACAAGCCTGTTCTTTACATTTATTTTCAGAACGTGTAACTTACAAATAATCCCTTTCTGAGCAGCAATACTAAGTTTTTAGCTTGGAGTGTGTGTGTCTTGCAAAATGTAGAAATGAAAGCGTCATTGGGGTGAGAAGTAGATTTTACCCATTCCCAAATCCAGAAGAGAGTGCGAGTACAAAATATACTGAGTTTGCCACGTAGTTGGAGGCATTGAGCAATTCATGTCATTTTTTGCTGCAGTCAAATATCCAGTATTATTATCTCATTGTCCCTTTGATATAATTTTCTCCTGATTCAAGAACTTCAAGGCTTTCATATAGACAGCACACAGTAACAACAGAGCCTGTTCAGTGCATGCATTTATTTTTAATGTAGTCAAGGGATGAAAAAAACCTTATCTAGCATTTGACTCACTAAAAAAATGTTTTGGAATTACAGAAGTAGTTCTTAACACTACAGAATAATTGAGGTTGCTGAAATTAATTCCTGTAAATTGTCACTTAACTTTCTTAGCTGAGCAGTGGTTATGAAAGCAGCTTTTCTTTGCAGTGTTTTGTTAACTTTTACTGTGCAGTGGATATGGGGGAATAACCCATGTCCAGCAGAGTGAATGTTTCCTAAATTATATGCCCTATGGATAGTGTCATATGCAGTCGGTAGTGTCATTGCATTGGCATCAACTTTTAAACTTCTTAAGTTCTTCTATTTTCATGCTACAGTAGGAAAAATAAGCCTTGACTTGGGCCATGATAGTTATTTACGTAATAGAGTAATTGCTTAGGGAAGCCTGTTGAAAACTTCTAATCAATCCTAGTGTTTTGGAAGTTCTAGACTCAGTAGGTGTTAAAATAAAGGTCACTCCTTTGTGGGTATATGAAAACAGATTGGTAAATTTGTTCTGTAGTGAAGACTAAATGTGTCTCAGCTTTCAGAATATGGATGAAAGTCTTTGTGGAAAAAGGTTTGAGTGCTATGATGGGGTTATCACACACACAGTTAATTCCCTTAATTATTGCTCTATAAAAAGTAGTGGCATTTAGTAAATTATTTAAGTATGAAACATAAAGGAACTATCTTACAGTCTTGTTCCAGTCCCACTGCCTATTTCTGTCATGGATCTCACTGCCAAAGCACTTGGGAAGGCCAAAATATTACTGTGGTTAAACAGTTTGGCAGTGCTGGAGACTACAGCAGCTGGTAGCTTTCATTTTGGTACAGAAATTACTGTGTTAGTATCTGTGGCCTCTGCTATACACAAAGTCCTAATGCATTATCATTCCCCCAATATCTTTTCAATTCTGCCTGGAATAAAATAAATAACAGAGGGTTACTGTGTGTGTTTTCTGATTCTAGGTTTGGTGCCCAATGTCACCTGAATTTTACAGAGAATATGTAGCTATCAAAACAAAGAAAAGGATATTGCTGTACACCATGAACCCAAACAAATTCCGGGCCTGCCAGTTCCTGATTAAGTTTCACGAGCGACGGAATGATAAAATCATCGTATTTGCTGACAATGTGTTTGCTCTGAAGGAATATGCAGTCAGACTTGGGAAGTAAGTGTTGACAAACAGCAGTGGCACTATTGCTTTCCTCCTTCCATGACAATTTCCTTGCAATCTTCCAGCTTTCAGTAGTCCTTGTTATTTCATGTAATGCTTTGATTTAACTCCAATCCTCCTGTATAAAAAGGAGCTCAGGGGAGTATTTTTGGCTGGATTTTATTGGCAATGCAACATTTTTTCAGTGTAGAAGTGTTTGAAAAGAATCTCCTTTTAGCAGTTGTTTCAGAGGAGTTTACATCCAGGATTTCTGTGAAAGACTTAGTATTTCTCCATCCATTTTATTCCTATTATTAAAAGCCAGAGGAAAAATGAGGGGCTTTTAAAAATATGGTAGCTTCCCCCTTCTCTCTGAGACAAAGGTTTTCAAATATACAGACTGGATCTTTCAAGATCTTTTGGGACCCAAGGCCTTCCTCTTCAAAAAGGTCTAAAAACCAATAAGACAACATTTTTGGGGATCTGTGCTGTACCAATACACTACCTACAACTGCTGTAATTGTTCAATAAATAAAAGGATATTGCTCCTGAGAGCAGTGACTGTAACGTGAGTGCAGTTATGGAAGGTTGTACAGATAGAGTTTAATTAGGGGTTAGCATCAGCATATTTGTAGGGTCTGGGGAGGGATGATCAGGGAGAGTTTGCCAGGATCAGGCATAGAGTGACTCCTGGGGGACATAAGCCTAGCAGCTGGCCTCATCCTTCCTGTGACAAGCCTAAATAATGCCTTATTTGCTAGAACCTGTGGGGCATTTTGATAGTATACGATTTCATGTCTAGGAATTTCAGCAGTACTCCTCAGCAAAACCACAAACAAGCCTTACACTTCCCAGAATTCATGATCAGTTCTGAGTGTAGTTTAGGAGCTGTGTTCTCCTGGCATGCTGTGCCATCAAATAGTCAGCAGAGCTAATGGTGCTGGATGAATTCCAACACCCGTGGCCTCTTTCATCATTTTTTTTAATCTGTCTGGACAGAGATTAGCTGTAATGATGCCTCTGGAATGTCTTTAGCAGTGTTCAGTGTGCCACAGACAAAGCCTTTGGCAGAGGCAGTGCAGGGAGGGCAAGAAAACCAGAGGAAGGAATAGTAGGTGCTCACCGTCCGTGTTCATAAGTGAATTCTGTTTCTCACATCATTTATGGAGCTCCAGGTTATCCGTCTGTCAGTGTTAGAAAGAAAGGAGGTTTGCAGTGCTGGACAGAGATGAGGGAGTCTTTGTTTCAAGCAGACACTTGTATATCCTAGTTTGCTGTGATTAGGCTAAAACAAAGGGAACTGTTAGTTTGGGCAGTGCAGGAATTAATGTGTGTGGAGGAGAGCAGCCCAGCAGTATGGCAGGAGTGCTGAGGCTCTGCCCAGCAGGAGCACAGTTCCCACTGCACTTTGGCCTGAGGGATGCATGCAGGGTGGGTGGGCTCCCAGATGGAGGGAGAGGTGGCCGTGGTCTGGCTATCTCTGCCACCTCCTCCCCTAACCCCCTTTCCCTTGGCACTCGGGAACCATCAGGGAAAGACCATGCACATAACAGTAGTTATTTTAACTGTAATTTTTTTGGTCACAGAATTCAAATTTCCTTGGCCAGCAAATGCTCTGTCATGAGTGTGTCATCCCATATAGTACAGCTCATGTGCTGACTGCTTTTTACTGGTGTTAGTAACGTGTTTACATCACTGTTCCTGAAGGACTGTGCCTGTAGGGTTATGTCAGTAACATAAGAGAGATCTATCTTTGCAAATTCCTCAAATGTCTTTTTGCAGTGAGGAAAAGGAGTCATTTAAAAAAATTACATCTAATATTGACTGTTCAGAAAAATACTCAGATATGTGTCAATGAATCCCTGTCAAGTAGGATCTGGATGGGTTAAAATGGAGGATTGATAGCCAGGAGATTTGGGTTATTCTGTCCTTAATATAAAATGTGTTTGAACACCTTCTTGCTGGCCTTAAGAAAGGGAAGGCTCAGATGCTTTAGTTTCAGTTTAAAAGCATCACAATTTAAATACTAAATGAAATTTAAAATCAGACTTAAAATATTACTGAATGCTACGAATTGAATAATAGTGTATTTTTTCAGACTTGACTCATTTGCCACTTTGATTTTTTAATGGCGTTTTTCTAAAAATCTGACTAAATACACTAAGTAGAAGAATTAGATTAGAGGTGACTAGGGTTGTTCTGGTAAAAAAAGCAAACCTAGTATAAAGTTCGTAGTCAAGAAAGCAAGAGGAGGCAGCACACAGGAATTAAGTGATAAGAGTAGAGCACCTCAGTACTGTGCACAGTACACTTACGTTCAGCTACCATTCATGTATATGCAAATTAAATGTTAAATGAAAAATTTGAGCTTGGTTCCTTGTGTTAGAAGTAGTGAATGGAAATGTGAATGAAACAGAAATTGTAGAACTTGATTCCTGTGGGTGGGAGATGCTTGTTAACCAGCCTTTGGAAAAGTAGTGCAACAGATGACAAAGCAGTGGCTGTGCTCTCCTGCATGCCTCTTGTTTCTTTGTGTGGCCTTTGCTGTTTCTAACTTTTTGGTTTTTTAATTCTGCTTGGGCAGGAAGAAAACAGCCAGACCTTGGAAAATTCATAGGAGCCCATGAAGTTTGTGGGTGACAGAGTTTATGTGAGCCTTTGGGATTGAGATACTCAGTGTTCCATGTGATTCACTGTCAGACATTAGAAACCTTAGGTGAAATGCCACTGTGAGCTATCATGGGATGTTTGGGACCTTGTTCTCATTTCAGTAGGCCCAGAAGGTATTAGAAGGGGCAAGAGGTTAGCTTTAAAAGAAAAAAATAATTTTCCTAGAACAACATCTAGCAGCCACTTTGTGACACACAGCATATCCTGGAATCCAGAAGCCTGGATTTTCAAGTTTTTAAATAGGAAGCAAAGGTTGCAGCTGTCAATGTGCTAACTCAGTACATTTAGGAAAAAAAATGCTCTCTTTATTTTAACAGCTGCCTTCAGTCTTTCATGTCAGCTTAGCAAATGTATTCAGTCTGTTGATGTACAGCTTCATTGGTGCATGTAATTGCAAAACATTTGTGACTGTCAGAATTTCTTTCTGGCAGACTGGGTTGCTGCAAAGGGTTCCACAAACCCCTGGGTAGCTTCCATGAAGAGCCAAACAAGCTAAAAGTAAATTGAAAGCTGTATGAGAATCTGGTTTGGTTTTATATCCACTCAAATGTGTACTGTGCTCCCTCTCAGTCCTTCAGGAATGAGTGAGAAATCTTGACTGGATTTAATTTGTGTATGTTTTGTTATTTTCAGACCCTATATTTATGGTCCTACTGCACAAGGTGAAAGAATGCAAATTTTACAAAACTTCAAGCACAATCCAAAAATCAACACTATTTTCATCTCCAAGGTAAGTGAAGATATTTACTATTTAGTGTTTGTTGGTGATACATGGAAATAAGATACTACTCAGAGGCTGCTCCTCTGTTACAGGTGGGTGATACATCCTTCGATCTGCCGGAAGCCAACGTTCTCATCCAGATTTCATCCCACGGTGGGTCTCGAAGGCAAGAGGCTCAAAGACTGGGACGAGTGCTCAGAGCCAAAAAAGGTAAGGAAGGTGATGGTTGGGCTCTGGGCCTTGGATCATAGTATCCTAGAGCAGCAGAAAAATTGGATGTTCAGGATGTTTCTTTATATCGTCCTTGGGTTATGTTTTGGTCAAGAGACTGTGCCTGTGCACCAGTGAATGAAAAAGAAGCATCTTCTGGGTCAGTAAAGCTTTGTGTTGGGAAAACTTCCAAAGGACAAAAAAAAAGATGAAAGAAGATTAACTTTTTGTTCTTTGGCAGTTCTTTCACTGTTTTGTTCCTTGATAATTTCCTCAACATGAAATAATTTTTTCCAAACCATAGTATTACTCTAAAAATGAAGCCTCTAGTAAGCACATTGTTGATACTGCAGATTACTTTCTTTTAAAAACCAGATTTGGCTCTCAAACAATGTGGTTTTGCAAAACATGGCCAAGGAGGTTTTGTTTAGAAAAATGGTCCTTGGAACACTTCCTACTCCACTTATTTTATGTGCAGTTTGTGCTTGTTACAGGTGAGGCTGTTTGCAAGTGCATAGAAACCCCCTGTTAGTGAGTTAACAAAGCCTTAGTGAAACCCTGGGTTTTAAAAGAGAACCCAGTGCTGTCTGGGTAATAGAACGTAGGGACTGTAAGATTTTAAAAAAACCAAACTGTAAAGCAGTGTGGTATATCCTGGACTTGAGATAGCCCTGTGAATTCTCAGCTTAGTATCTTTGTCCTGCTTTATTTTAATTCAAAACCATTGCAGCTCTGGTTTGCATGGATGAAACTTTCCCTTTGTCTGTTTCCATTGAACTGTTTTGACATGTGTTGCAATCCTTGCTCTTGACTTTTTACTTCTTTACATAACAGACTTTAAAATAATTTTCTTTCACCTTGCCTAGCACAATAAAGAAGCAGGTTCTTCTCAGAGCACCTGTGTGATCGTGTTAGTCTACATCTCCTTTTTCGTTTCTTCCTTTTCACCCACTCTCAAGTTACTAAGAACAAGAGTAAGAGTGTGCTGTGTCAGTTTATGTAAGGTCTGGGTGCAGACAAACTTTGCAAATTGTTTTTGTGGAGACAACTTATTTCAACACCTGTTTTCAGTATTTATTCTTTATTTGTTCTTTATTGCAGTGTTCCAAATGGAACTAATCACTGATTATTTTGTATCCTAGGCATGGTTGCAGAGGAATACAATGCCTTTTTTTATTCTCTTGTATCCCAAGACACTCAGGAAATGGCATATTCAACGAAACGGCAACGGTTTCTTGTAGATCAAGGTTATAGCTTCAAGGTAACTTGTCCCTTCTATTTATTATGCCTGGGGCCTAGGAATATTACTTTCATATTCTTTCATGTTAGTATTCAGTCAAATACTTGAAAATTCCTGTTGTGGAATGCATTAATGGAGATTTTTCTTGCGAGAACTGTTCCAATATTGTTTGATCATCTCTATTCCTGGAAGGGCAGATCCAAGTAGCTTAGTACATCTTCTGGAAAGGTTAGCATTGGAGCTTCAAATCAGGCATATGCTGGCGAGGAAAGCACATGTTCCTTGCATGGTTGGGTTATGTTTCTGCTGTTCAGCTGCCCATCCCTGCAGGCCTCCCATTTTACATTGTCATACTGCCTGTGTACAAGGCATTGTTAGCTGTTCTCGTCATAGTGGCCAGCAGCAATTCAGACAACTTCCAAAACTTCAGAAGTCACAAATAATTTCCAAAGAACTCTACTCTCAGATCAGTATTTCAGTATTGGGAGAAAATCTTTTTCTTTGTGACTGAAAGAGAACATACAACAGGCAGAATTCATCCATCCTGCATTCACACTGGGAGTCCTGAGTTAGGTGTCTGAAGTGTCTAGCAACCCATTCCTGAAGAAATACCTTCCAGGGATTGTCCTCACACTCATGTTGTGCACAGTGCTCTCCAGTAGTACAGCAGAGCACCCAGGACACAGACCAGGCGTGTTGATACGGTGGCTCTGTACTCACACAGACTGTTCCACCTAATGGAGGTCTTTGGACTGTGCTTATATTAGATCTTCTTAATTTTCTCTGTTTCACTGGGTTGAATGTTAATTGATTAAAAAATGCCAGGATTTTACTGCAGGGGTTGAATATTCATTGATTTAAAAATGCCAGGATTTACTCCAGGCAAAGACTATCACTTCAGAGTAGAAATCTTCCTATCTGCAACTCAAACATACTGCTCCAAACAGAGATTTTCAGTGTTGACAGTGTAACACAGACATGACTTCAAAGTCAGAAGTTTCCCTTAAAGTCCCTGTTGCAAAGGACTGAATGCTGTCTCATTTCTGTAGGCAAACTTGAAAATTGATCACCCTCTCTATTTCAGTTTATTATGTATCTATGTTGTCTTCTTCCAAACATAAAATCTCATTTCACACAGGCTCCTCTAATTTGTAAATTTCATGGTGTATCTCATTTACTTTTGTTTTGGTGCATGGGCTGTCCCATATGCTCTCCTGCAGGGCTGTTAAAGGCAACAGAGTATCATGACAGCTCTTGGGTTTAGGTAAATTATACCTTTACAAAATTGGAGCTTACTGCTCTTATTAGAAGCTTTCCCAATGAGAAACATTGCTGAGAAAAGAAAAGTTAAGGCTCCCATGTATGTCTTTAGGGAGTGAGCTCAGGATTACAGCACTGTCAGTCCTGAAAGTATTGCAGGAGGGGCAGGGGCAAGGCAACCTCTGCTGGGTTGCACTTGAGCTTGGTTGTTAAGAGCTCATCAGTGTGAGGCACCTCCATGCACCAGTACAGGACATCCCCCTGAACTGCAGCTGTGCTGAAGGAAATCACTGCTCTGTAATGAGCAGCTCATTAGAGAGAGCTTTAAGGGGCCCTTACACCCAAAGAGACATGTCACAGTCTTTATAGGTGAAAACTTTGTTTTGCTTTGTAGTGAATGTGTTTTGACAAAGCTGTAGATCAGTACTAAGCTCCAGCTAATTACAGAAAATGCATCTGTGTAGCTATAGCCAAGGAGATTAGGGAAATCCCTTTACTTATATTTGAATGCCTTGGATTCTAGAGCTAAAATAGAGGTTAAAATGGAGGGATTCCATTTTGCAAGGAAAAGCAAGTCCTAGAAGTTTTGGTGTAATGTGGGAAAAAAAGCAGTGCTAGTACCAGCTAGCAGCTGAGTATCTGGAGCAACATTTTAGCTGAGCAGTACTGGAATGTTCTTTACTTGCAATTTAGGAAAAAAAACCTTAGAATATCTATTTTCCCCTGTTTGCCAAACTTTAAGCCTTAGTCATAGCTGGCATCAAGGAGTAATAGGGCTGGAAGAAACTTCTAAGAAACCAGCTATTGTGTTTCTTCATTCCAAGCAAGGATGAACTATGTGTGTGTCATTCTGTCACCTTAGTCTTCCAAATACGGAGACTGTACCTCTATAGGTAATTATTTCAACGCTGATGTCCTCTCCTTCAGAATTTTCTTCCTAAAGTACTAAAAATTCATTACTCGTTTAAAAAGGTGATAGTTTTCACTTTGTATATAGGGCTTTCTTCTCACCATCTCTCAATAGCTCCATCCTCTGCCTTTCATCAAAAAGAAGACTGGGAGTAATATATATTTTGCTAAATCACATATTTTGTCTTTGGTTCTGAAATATCAGCCTTATCATCACAATTTACTGCTTGGAGTTTATTACTTGCAGGTTTGGGGTTTTTTTGTTAGCTACCCAGTTTCATTGGTCACTGCATTGTTTTTTTATTTAGAGGTTGAATGTAGGATATACTAAAATTTAAGTCAATAGCAGAAGAACTCTGTATATCAAAGGTCTTTAAACGTGGCATCTGTTGGACAGCTTAAAAAATGATGCAGTGGGAATTCTTTCCATTCTATGAATCATGTTAGCACTGTTTTGCAACTAGAACTAGAAACAGGCAAATGCAATTTAAAATTGATTTTGTGACTCCTTTTTCTTTATGAGATGATCATAGCACATGTCCTTCTAAATAAATGAGGAGGATCATAGTGTTTCTTTAGCCATGTAGCAGGACAGATTGCTTCCATGAATGGGTTCTCCAAGCTCAGACATTTCTCAAGAAAACATCCATTTTGGAGTTAGAAATTGCCATTGACAACAGCCCATGGCACTGATTATTCCTTTCAGTGTTTCTCTACCCCATTTCTTAAGAACAGGACTTTGCAGCTAGTGTGGATTTGTGTTATCTGAAACTGTATTTCTCTTTTTAAATCAGTCTTTGTGATCAGATCCAGCCCAGACTGTGAGATGTAATTAGGTTCTAATTGTATTGACTCGAGAGGTAAGCAGCAAAGATGAGGAAGGGAAACACTGCCTAAGCAAGGGAAATGGCTGAAATCTTTCCTCAAAATCTAGTCAAGTTGGAAGCATAGCAGGAAAACCGATTGTTATATATAAATATGTTTACAGAATGGATTTACCTACAGGAAAAATTCTCATGAAATTTTAAAAATAGCTCTAGTTAAGAAAGCAAATTGCCTGTTGTAAAGCTTTATAACAGAAGCTTGAGAGCTTTTCAGTTCCCGGGGAGGTTTGTCAGCTCATGGAGTACATGGCGCTGCTTTGCCAGTAGATGGCACATGCCCTGCACCCGCGCTTGTCACATGAGTTAGTAAGAATTCCAACGACCACAAAGTTACCTGGTGTCTTAAGTACACAAAGGCTGCAGGAATCCTGCTCTACTGCTGATGCTCTGTCGCAGGTTGCTGCACGATCTCTCAACAACTGATTGCACAACTCAATTTGTTAAGGTTTTTTTTCCCCCATTTTCTTGAATGTCTGTTGCTAAAATTCTCAGTCTCTGCAAAGCTAATGGATTTTTTTTTTCTTAAATACAAAGTGCTAGTTCTTAAACTAGCCAAACATAGCAGCCACAGCATGACACTAACCTTGCAGTAAGTCATAGAAGCACAGAATTTTAAGGGTTGGAATGGACCTTACAGATCATCTGGTCCCAACCTCCCCTGCCATGGGCGAGTCAAATATGTATCTGAGCTATATGTGCTTTGGTCAGGTCCTTGGTCAGGCTGGTGTGAACAGTGTTTAACTAACATCCTCTGCTCAGAGCTTTTCTTTCTGCTTTTCTTCTTTTTTTTCCCCCCAAGATTTGTATTTTGCATTTTCAGCTAGAATATAACACAGGATGAGTGTGTGTAGGCATATATGTACACCAGTGAACAAGATTTTATATGTATATGTGCTATCTGTAGTGTTAGGCTGTTCAGACCACTAATAAAAGTTGAAGGCTTCCCACAGGATATGGAATCAGAAATCCTTGTCTTGGTTTGGACAGTAAGGAGGAAGAGCCTCTCACCTTGTACTGTGCTCTGTTTCTTAGGTAATAACAAAGCTGGCAGGCATGGAAGAAGAAGAACTTTCATTTTCAACCAAAGAAGAACAGCAGCAGCTTCTTCAGAAAGTCCTGCAAGCATCTGACCTGGATGCTGAGGAGGAAGTAGTTGCTGGAGAATTTGGTTCAAAGTCAGCTCAGGTAATGAAGAATGCGTTGAAAAGAATGAGCACAGATGGGACAGAACTAGACCATTTCAGGTCCATCCAGTTCTTAATGTGATGAGGTCATTGGTACCTGTTATCTTTGTGAAACATTAGAGAACAGATTTGGTTTTTTAAGCTGCATTAGCATTTAGCCATTGGAATAAATCACTTGTTTGGCACGAAGAAGTAGTTAGACATGGAATTCATGTTCTTCTCCATCATATTTCAGGGAGAAGATGACAGATCTGTTGTTACAGATCTTCTAAATCACATGCAATGAAAATATTTTTTACAAATATAAGATACAAATGTGTCACAGCACATACTTTTTTGTGTGGCACTGTGCTCCTTGAATCATTTATCATGCCCAGAGGGCAGAAGCATAAGGATCACTTTTGCTCATGAGAAGTACTTACTATTGTAGATAATAGTTTGACATTTTCAGCAGCAGATATCAGAAAAATAGCCTGAAACATTTAAAATCAGGCTACAGTGTGGTAGTTTAATTTTTAGCTAAATGGAATTACACTGAAATGCATTAGGAATTCCCACTCTAAGGTATCTTTCCTTAGGAAACCTTACGTATGTTTGTATGCTGACAGTGAAGGTCAGGCTGTGACTTGCTGCATAGAAATTCTTCATAAGGAAAAGAACCTGAAGGCTTTTTGCCATGAAGGTCACTAAATGAACTGCTGTGCTGCCCAGTAGCCAGTGGGCATCAGTAGGTTAGAGCTGCTCTGTGGTCTCACCCTAAGCACTTGCCTGTTGTCCTTGTACCTGCAGGTGTCCCGTCGTGCAGGCACCATGAGCTCCATGTCTGGGGCAGATGACACTGTGTACATGGAATACCACTCTGCACGGAGTAAGGCATCTGCCAACAAACACATCCACCCACTCTTCAAGCGCTTCCGCAAGTGATGTCCTCCACGTGTGCACTGTGTTAAAGCTCTGCGTCCATCTACCTGTTCCCATAACTGAACAGGTGGAGTTGAAATTCTTACAGGTCCTCTTAAAGACTTTTTTCATATGCATCTTTATAGCCACGTATTTCCTTAGCAAGGTATGTGCTCTCGTGGGTGAATGTGGAAGGAAGGAAGGAACTAAAGCTTACCACAGGAATGATACTATCCAGTGACTGGATCTGGGTTAGACCTGTCTGGTTTTCAGGGTAATTAATAGATTTTATTTTTATCAGCTGAAGACCCTTTTGCAGAAGAATTCTGGAAAGGTTTTGTAAATTAAGTTTGTACTGATGTTTGAAATACTATTTATCTGATTATTGTGTCTGCTTAACAAAATACTGTGGTTTTTTTAAATACTTCAATAAAAATCATTCATTGAGCTGAACAAATCCTGAGAGGAGCACTTTACATAATATTTTTAAACTGGGAGCTAATTTATACTTATGACTTAAGCTGTCTTAAAATTCTAACAAATTGGTAAGAGATACTTTGAAGTTGAAGACAAGAAGAGTGACTCTGTCTCCAGAGAAAACTCAAGGAAAGCATTGGTAAATAGAAGTAAATTGTGTGCTCTGTTTTCCTCATTTTTCTGGCTACTTCTGAGAAGTTGCTAAAATAAAAGCTGTTTCCCTTGTCCTTTATATTCTATTTATTAGCCATGCAATAAAACCATTGTAACTGCTAAACAGGGCAGTGTCACCACAGCAGTTTTTACTGAATCAAAAAGCAAAAGGTGAGTTGACAGAACATGTGAAGGAAAGATTCCCAAATTCAGTTTGTTTTTTTTTAAATGAAGACTGCAGTGTAATTCTAGAAAATGATAGGAGAAATGGTGTGCTTTGTGGCAGAAAAATGCTTTGTAAATAACATCTTAATACTGTAGCACACTACTCGGTGTTGTATTACAAGGTAAGGTTTTTGCTGATAGTTGTAGAGCTTTAGGAACATTGGTCTTGATCTGCTGTTTCAGAATAGGTTAGTACAGATCTGTACCATACTGGAAGGAGTGCACATGGTGCAGCTATGCTAGTTTTATGGCAAAGGTGCTTCAGAAAAATACTGATTCTGTTTCTTAATAGCATGAATTCACGAATTGAGATCATAGAAATATTGGAAGCATAATTCAGAACAGATTGATGCTTTCTTTCAGTCCCAGAATCAGGTAATTTTGAAGAGGGAACTGATCTGCTTCAGTTTAAACTTTGTTTAGGCTCTAAGCCCTACCCTGTGCTGTGTAACACATGGTTCCTTTCTCTTGTGCTGAATTTTCTGCCCCACAGAGTGAACCAGCCATGACAGTGCTTGAGTGGCTTATATGGAAAAGATGAATGCGTAGTATTCTGGTGTTGATTTCCTCTCCCCAGTTTAAAGCATTAATTACTTCTGAGAGTATTTCAGACCAGCTCTAGTGGCAACAGTTAGCAGCAAAATGACAGTTTAGTATAATAGGAAGGGTTTGTGGCAGTGGAATAGCAGAGAAGTCTGTCAGTGTCTCTTTGCACAATCCTCTTACAATGCTTATGAATTGATTTGGAACTATTCTCCATCCTTCATACACCTGGGGGGAAAAAAAACCCTACTAAATGTAGAAATGGCTTAATATTGATTTCTGTAATTGTGGAACTAATAGTAGCTGGATTTAGGACACTGTTCTAGTTCTTATGTAGTAAATCATGACCATGATTACTAATGGTCTTACTCTTCCAAAGTAGTGGGTGCAATACATTCAGCATCAAGTAGAGCATAATTTACTAGGTATGAATGACTCCATGCATCAGTGATAGCATCTTGGTACTCAAACTTTAAAATTAATTACTTTGATATGATTAACTGCAGTAATTACTGCCTGCTGTTACTCCAGACTGTAGCTGCAAGTGGCAGACTAGCATGCATTTACTCACTACAAATGAGTTGCTGCTGCACATGCTGCTATCACCTGTGCAGGAGTATGGTCAGACCGTTCTGCTTTCCAGGTGGGTCACTGGGAAACACTGCTGGTTCCTGGGGGTTCTGTTGTGGTGTCCCACAGTGCTCCTCACCCAATGGTTGCAGTAGATTGCTCCAGAACTGTAATCCCAGACCTCTAGGAAACTAAACTGCCCACAAAATAACAGATAGTGTGGCAAAACTGTGTTTCAGCCCATGACTGATGCCAGAGGCAGGTGAACTCAGGGGTAAGTAAATTATTTCTTGGAAGTCTGTAGACAGGAGATGTGATTTTCTTGGACACAGTTCAGGTTTTCTTGCTGCAAGAAAAGCTTTTACTCTGGTCCACGGCCACCTCCTTAGGCTGAATTCCATCCTGAGGAGACTTTAATCATCTTCAGGAATTGTCTTTTTTCAATAGTTTGGGTTTTGTGTTTCTGATAGGCTACGATAGCGAAGCTTGTGTTTATGTGCTCTTCATCCCTGTGGCAAACCAGCCAAGTGTCTGTATGAAGACATTAGTGCTTGAAAGATGCTGCTGTTACTCATCAAAATAGCCTTCTGGACTAAAAGGGCACAATGACAATGGAGTGACAATTTCAGTAAGCACTGCAGCTCAGCAAAGCACCCAACTACACCCAGTTTCTGATTCTCTGGCTCGTTGCACCCTCTTGATGGTCGTCATTTTCAGTACTGCCATATATTTTCTAGTGCTTTTAAAAACTTGGGCCTTCAAGCTAAGTGGTTCTCAGTGTGGTACACTGTAAGAAACACAGGACAAGGATGTAAAACCGAGAAGGCTACACGTAGAGCTGAATGCTTTACAGTTGGTTCATGGGGGTTTTATTAAGCTCTGAACAGTAAATAACACACAGTGCTACCAACACCTGGCACTGGGAGCTTGCTCTGATTTAACTATCTTCTTTTTGTACAATATTCAATCAGTATTCAGCCTGTTAAGTTCAAATTTGTCCCCTTTTCAAGAAAAAGCATGGGAATTTAGAAGACATTTAAAATTCCAAAGGAGCAACTTCACAACTTGAAAAGATCTTTCAGAAGATGGGTTTGAGGACAGTCAGCAAAGGCAAAAATTGTGACTAACTGTATGGCTTTTTCAGTGAAGAGATGTTTTAAACTACACTGAAAATCTCTGCTTACATTTCTGACATTTCAGCACTTTTTCAACCTTTCTTCCTTGCAAATGTTCTGAAGAGCCTATTGTATAGTCTTAGCTGAAGGTGTTACTTGGGTAAAATTAAATGCCTCTGATCAAATCTCTTACTTCCATAAATTGTACTTGGAGATGATTTACACTTGTTGCTATTTAAACAGTTAAAAACATACAGTACAACATTTATTACACTGTATAGCATAGAATGATGTTCAAATAATTACAAGCCAGATATAGCTCAGAATGTTAAAAGGTGAGAATAATTCTAAGAAAACAGAATTCCTGGTAAGATGATAATGTAAGCATTGACTCTGAATACCAGTGTTACTGACACAAAGAGATTCGACTGAACTTTGTCAGAGTTCATGCAAAGAGAAGGGCAAGTTTAAATTGGATTTAGCAGTAACTAACTAAGGTAACAAAGTATGATTAATCAGACCATTAGGGGGTCTAGACTGAGAGAACAGCATGTCTGTGGGTTTGAAGACCAATTATCCAAAAATAATACATAATCTAAATTATCAATAGCCAAGTTTAGTTTATACTGTGATCTCGTTACATACCAAAAGCTAACTCAAACTGAAGCATGTCTGCTGTGAAGGGGCATGTGCTCCAACTTGTTTGAAATAACAAAGGTCCCAACTGACTCATTACATAAAACATATTCTCAGACTCCAGGGACCAACAGGCTAGGACAAACGTCATTGTTTAAAGAACTGTGAGTGTGCTTCTGAGTTGGTGTTAAGACATCTGATAAATATATATGCTGGAAGGTTGTAGAAGTAGGAGAAAATATTTATCTTCCTTGTCCCATAAATATGTTTTGGCTGGGTTGTGCTGATAGCGTAACTCCTCCCTTCTTTATGGTTTGGTGGCTTTATGTGGATTGGAAGGAGGTTTTGTGCCATGGCTGCTACACTCACCATTATTTCTGAGAATTTTGCAGCAATACTACTGGAATTCTGTTACCTGAAACAAGTCTGTGTTCATGCTGGGGAGGAAAATGGGATCAGGCAATGCCAACCCCTCCACCAGGTTAGGTTACCCTCTAAACCCTTCTCTATGTAAAATCTGGTGCTGCTTTTTCCAATGTTTGTTAGTTCCCTTCCTTCACTCTTCCCTTCTCTTTTTCAAGTCTGCTCTAGGAAACTTATTTTAGCTTCATCCGTCTCTTGTAGCACAGATTTTGGGGTTTACTCATAACGTTGACCATTGAATGTGCTGCAGTTTGCAAGTTTGACCTCCAACTCAGATTCTGCAGCAGTAAGGATGTGAAGTGTGTCAGTAAAACAGGAGCCTTAGTAGCACATACATACACTAAGAACTCTAATTTGAAAGTCAAACAGAACCACAGAATTATGATCTGGCACAGGAAGGAGGAGCACATAGTCTAATTACACATGCCATATTGTGGTAGCCCACACATATTCATTCGCATTCCTAAATATTCCCATCCTGCATTTGGCTATTTAACCACATTACAGTTCGGCTACTGTTGTCTGGAGTATTCTTTCTGTACAGTTTACCTAGAAGAAGAAACTTGTATCTGCACGGATGGGTTACCATAGTGTTGCTGATAAACATATGGTAGTGGTGTAACAGTGTACCTGAGCCTGCAGCTGTTAGTGGCTCTGAATTTCTACTCCATCTAACAAAACACCTAGGAATATGTATTATTGATAAATATCTTTGAACATTCAAACAGGGTTGTTTGATAACTTGTTTTGTGACCTTTCTTTCATATGCTTAAGACAAACTACAGTATGTTGGCCTTGTAGGCTCACTAGTCCTCAGACCTACCACTGCTCCATCACCTGCACTATGTAAAAATTGTTTCTGTGGGTGTCAGTCCAAACCTCCTTTTGTGCACACAAGGTGCAGAATGGCATCCTTACTTCCCTTTAAATCCTTCTGCTGTATCAAAGAAATTTGGCAATTTTCATCACTAATGCGTTGCTACTTTGTGCTTTCTACATTTATTTCTTTCTGTTACACTCAGCTGTTGCCTCTAACCTACTTTGGAAATTCTTCAGGAGGGGCTGGTTTTGGCTTTGTTTATAAAACACTGCGGAATTTTCTTTTAAAATTACAAGATGGTAAGTAGTAATGGAGGTGTCTCGCAGGTGCTCCTGGGTTACAACTCTAATGGCACACACATTGCACCTTTGTGTTAAAAGCAGACAGACCAAGTATAAAATCCTTTTCAAAGTTCATTAGGTATGTTGAGAGGGTTTTGTTGTTGTTGAGGTTTTTCTCTAATTTTTGTTTTGCTGCTTTTACATTAGTAAACAGACATGTTTACAATACATCAGCTTTTACATTAATATATCATGAAATAAACTGTCTTAGAATTTCCGCTTCTGAGTGTCATATTGAAACCCAACAACACTATCCAGACAGCAGGGAGCACATCACACTGCTCAGGAGCCTTAGCACAATAGATAGCTGGAATCTTTGCCTGCATTTGGTTTTACTATGATTGTATAAGCTACACTTGATAACTGGTAATCACAGAATGTTTGACTAGGAGTAAACATT